ATTTATCACCCCTGGGTGGCCAGAGGGGAATTGCATCAGTAGAAGAGCCTTTATCTGCCCAGGGACAAGGAAGGCAAAAAAAAGGTGCAGAGAAACTGGTGAGTCAGTGCTGCTTTGGAGCGTGGCAGCCAGATGCTGTACCTCCCTGGCAGTATGCTGATCAATGGGAGATAATGATCTGCTGAGTGTTTGGGTAAGCAAAGAGAAGAGCTTTATGGAGAACCGATGCCTTTGAGAAAAGCAGTGCACGGAGAACTCATAAGTCATCTCACCTTAAATTACCGTGTGTCTGAGGGAATTGATGGGGTCAGCTGGAGCTGTGTTGTTAATGAGGAGACCGAGCTTTGAATTTCAAAGGGACAAATGTAAAAATGCAGCTGGTCTGCTGGTAAGGTGAGGTGGCTTGAAGATCTCAGCTGAATGCGGGCAAAAAACAAATTGGATGGAGACCACAGGGCCACAGTAGAGTGAAATTTGGTCCCAAGGTAGAAAGTGCAGATCCACCTGGGAAAGGAATTAGGGGTAAGCAGCATCTTCTGCAAATGAGGGGAAGAGCTGATGGTCAGTCCCTGCTGTCGCAAGGCCAGGAATCACAGGGAGGGCTTTCAGGCAGGCTCAGCTGCATCTCACAAGGGATATTAAACACTAAGTGCTCCTATAAATAAAAGGGTCATTAACATAAAAAAGAACAAAGGGAGAAGTGGAGATTCTATGTGTTGAGGATGGATGGAATTTAAAGGTAATGTTTCCATTGGCCCAAACAAAGCGTATATGTTATCTCCATTTGCAGTAAGGATGATTTATGTTAAACACAGGGACTAAAGAAATAAAACAGTTGCTGCTGTACCAGATGGGATATTATGACTTAAATTGGAGAAGATGGATAATAATGAAAAGCCATAATATGATCAAGGAGATGAATAACTGCCTAAAGGAGAAATGAAAAACAGTGTTAGTGGGAGCTGCAGGCTGGAGGGAGTTGCGAGTGAATTTTCTGACAGACAAGAGAAAGGACCAATTTTATTTAATATTTTCATTAGCAATGTCGGTACAAAAGTCAGAAATATGCCAAGGGAATGTCGGGATAAAGACCAGAAGTATGCTCAATAATGCTGAGCTGGGAAGCATCAATACAGCTCTTCTGAGAGAGGAAGAGATGGATGATCTTCAGCACTGCAGGAGCAGAAATAGAATGTACTAGCATCTTAACAAGTATTAAGAAACTTGGCTTTAAACGAGAAATCAGTCAGCTGGGAAGAAAACCAGACACACTGACAGACCATGGGCAGGGCTGGGAGGTGTGTGAGCTGTGCAGGGTTCTGCTGTGGGGAGCTCCGAGCTGGGCATGGCCATGGGCAGCTTGGGACCCAGGGACACAGCCTGTCCGTGCCAGCACCTCTCTCTGAAATGGGGCAAGTTCCAGACCTCAGCAGGGGCTTTCAGGCATGGTGTGGCTCCCAAATCGCCCTAAACCTTACTGTGAGCAAAGTAGAGCTGAAAGAAGTAATTCTGCAGTCTCACGTCTGGGCATTTCTTTTCTTCGTCCATCACAAACACCGACCTCCACAGGTGTTTTGGTGTATTTAGGTGTGGAAGCAGAATTCAGTGGACAGAAACTGTCAAGCCAGTTCACCACAGCTGCAGATGCCCTGATGTGATGTGGCTCAATGCACACTTGGCGTTTGAAATCATGGAATCCTACGCTGGGCTGCAGCACTGGGCCTGGAGCCGTGCATTGGTGCTGCTGCCCTCGCCACGGCAGCGGCAGTGCTGGCCAAACAGCATGAGATAATTCAAAGCCACAGGTGAAAACTCTGATTAAAGAAATCAGCAAGGACCATGTGGGGAGCGGGCCCAGGTTCTGCAACAATAACGAATGCAAAGCAGGTCCCCAAAGAACACCCCTGAAATGAGAACCCTGCCTGGCACGCGCGCTTCGCGGGGATTTGAAAGTAGGTCTGGGTTTTGTTGATATGACAGTATCAATCAATCTAATTAGATCTTTTTGCATAATCACGTAGCATTTGCATAAAAGTAAAGCCAGCCCAGGAGACAGCTAAGAAAAACAAGGGCTGAGGGAAAACAGAAACTTTTGAGTTATTGCTGTTTTTCTAAGACTGAGTCAGCGCTGATGGAAAAAAACGTGTGTGAGTTGCAAAAACTGAGTGCCTGGAGTCTACATCTGACAGAATGAAGAACAGAAAGTGCCTTTCAGGAATGAAAATAGGAAGAGAAGTCCTGAAAACTTCAAAAGCTCCTCTGTGCTCCTGCGGAAAGACCGAGCAGAGCAATCTCTGGCAGTACCTGAGTATTGAAAACTGTGAATTTAATTAGGATTCTTAGCCTGATCTTTCAAATTCGCTCTAGAAGTCAGAGAAAAAGAGTCTTGGACTGAAGCACAGAGCCTGTGTCGGGCTTTGCTTTGCTTTTTGTTCATCGTGCCTGTTGGGCAGTGCTGAGGGCACACAGAATAGAGGTATATCAGAAAAGAATCAGAATTTAAGCAAGAATGCGATTTAAATAACGTGCTCATCTTGCACTGGGCTTGAACCAAGGCAGGAGTTGGGCACTAGGTTGTGTGGTCAAAGCAGGGGTCAGGCTGGAGCTGTGCGACTGCAGTGACCAGTGGCACCTGGTGAGTGGTGGGGAACCCAGAGGGAAGCCCAAAGAGCAACCTCCACACCAGCCATATGCTCAGCCTCTCTCAGTCAGTAACACAACAAACCTCGTAAGGGTTGCCTTACACACCTGGGGCTCGGTGCCATCTCACCAAGGCTATAGATCCAGCCTTTGCCAATGTTTGCTGAGAGGAGGCACTGGCTGGATGGGTCTGAGCCACCCTGCAGGGACGTTTCAGTTTGAAATCATGCCTCTGTTGCTTTGTGGGTAGAACTCAGGTGAGTCGTTAATTAATTACTGGCTAGTCTCGAGTTATTTAGTGCTAACACAGCTAGTTCATTTATTACTGGCCACTCAGAATCTATTATCTATCGCCTCAATAAACCATTTATTTTCTACTTGGCGATCCTGTTTCAGCAAAAGTCCTCAAGAGGGCTCTGACAGGCAGGCACTGGCTGAGAAGTGGGCACACGCAATCCTTCAGAGACTGCTGGCCAAGTCTGGGGCTAAGAGTGGGGACAGCAGCACGTTCCCTGCCCTGCAGCTGTGCTCACAGGGTGCCCAGAGCATCGCCTCCCAGCAACCAGCTGCTGGTACCGAAATCTTTGCAGGCCAGCGTTCAAATCACAAATCCACATTTCTCAAATAGTGACTTTTGTGAAGAGAAAATTTTAATTTGTCTTCCTTGAGAGCGTGTGTATTTGGCGAGTGACCCAGATATTGATTAATGAAGTGAATCATAGATTTTTCTTCTGGCTGGAAGCGACTGAGTTATTTTTGTTTTCCTCTTTAATCCTAACAAATGGGTTAGCCTTTAGGTGGATATGCAGATTCGATCACTAAGCTGCTGGTACAAGTGGACTATAGTATAAGGAATATAAGCGTTTGAATGAATGCTTTTTTTTTTTCTTTTTGCCTGCACAAGGCAGATAACTTGTGACAAAAGGACCAGAGACAGTGGCTAGACTGATTATGCTTCAACACACATCTGGGGGGCTCCAGGTGCAAAGTTGGTTCAGTGGGTCTGTGTATGCAGGTGAAGGGCAACAGATTTGACGCATTCAAGTCACCACTGCCCAAGGGCTTCACTGTGCATTTTTGGGCACAGCTTTGGCATGGGGGGAGATGGACGGTGACACAAAACACTGCTGCTCCCTAAGGGTGGTGCTGCAGCGGCACAGCTGCCCAGCAGTGGTGGGGTCACCAGCCCTGGAGGTGTTCAGTGGAGATGTGGCACTGAGAGATGTGAGCAGTGGGCAGGGTGGGGTGGGCTGGGCTTTGGCTTGGGGATCTCGGAAGTCTTTTCCAGCATGAATGACTCTATGATTCCATGAACGGCTTGGGGCTGTCACTGTCATATAGTTCCTAACCCCTCAGGTGATTATTTTCACTATTGGCCCAAACAACTGCTCAGCAGCAGGAACAGCAGGCTTGCTGTTGTCTGTGAGCTGCCACTTGTACAGGGACTCACACAGCCTCCTCACTACCACCTCTTCTCCCATCCTCATCTGCCCACCATCCACACGGAGCTTTGGGCTCAGGAGCACAACAGTCAGTTCATCACCAGGATCTGCCCTTCTGAGTGTGTCCTCCATGATGGCCTGGAAATGCTTTAAAAAGCAACAAGCTGAGGAGAGCAGTGCTGAGGCAGCAAGTGTCTGTGGTACAGACACCAAAAGGTTCCATTCTTTACTTCTGACTTCTCCAGCAATGTGATTTACAGAATCCTAAAACCATAGAGGTTGGAAAGGACCTCTGGAGCTCTCCCAGTCCAACCCCATGTTACAGCAGTTCCCTGAGGAGCTGCACACAAAGTGTGCTGGTGGGCTTGGATCTCTCCACAGGAGTCTCTCTGAGCTCAGTACCAGGGCTCTGACACCATCACAGCACAGAACTTCTTCCTCGTGGCCATATGGAACACTCTAGGCTCCAGTCTGTGCCCAGCGCCCCTTGTCCTGACACCGAGCACCATAGAATAGAGCACAGCCCCATCCACATGACTCCCATTCTTTTGGATATTTATAATCACTGCTTAGATCCCCTCAGCACAGGGGACAGGTAGTGGTATTGGCCTTGGCGCTGAAGAACCCAAGGGTTGAGAATCTACTGAAGTTGAGGATTTGCTCCTAGGAAGACCCATAAAAGTGAGGAAAAGAAAAACATCTGCTCCCCAAGATCCTACAGCAGCTTTCTGATTGCCTTGCTGCACAATAGGACTAGCAGCAGCAATCCAACCCTGAAGCTCTCAGCACAGAGCAGCTCAAATCACACGTGGCACTGCTAAGTCCTAATCATCCTCAGCTGCTCCACCATCCCACCCATGAGCTGGGCTCCATTTAAGCTCCATCCAGGGCACTTTCTCTAGTTAGAGATCTGCTGTAGGTCTGCCTGGTCTCTGAGGGAGCTTAGGCTTTTGTGGTACTCTTTTTGCTCCCTGTGCTGATGGTGGCCAGAGATGTGACCTTTACTGCTGGATGTACCAGGTTGGTGAGGGCTCTGCTTGTGACAAGGTCACTGTAAGCCCTTGGCTCCTTGCTGCCCTGTTTGTGGTGCTGTCTGGTAGTATGGGCAGCTGCCCAAAGCTTTGTGGCTTTCCCTGCTCCCCTGTGCCTTGCAGGTGCTGCGTGCCTGTTCTTATGCTGTGGTGCCCTGTATGATGGAGGAACTGCCTTGTGTAATGCCCTGGAAGCCTTCCTTCCATATGGGGCCAAGCAAGCTGGCTTTCACACAATGCTGCATGAGGTATGTTGCACCAAGAGGGTCTCAGCTTTTTTGGTACTTGCCAGTATAACTGTTGGCTGAACACTTTTGTATAAAAGAGGAGTTGCAGAAAAAAACATGTGGTCTTTTTGAGAAACTGCTGGCAGCTCTTAGAAGCCTGAGCCTGCTTGCAGCTCAGCTTCTTTTTGTGAAGCCTAATTGCATTTCTATGGTAAAAGCCTAAAAGCCCCCTTTCTGTGGTGCCATAAATAAATTGATAGAAGTTTTACTCTATGTCATTCTAGTATTGTTGGGAGAAAAACACTCTGACCAATGGGGCAGCAAGTCTGGTGTTGGGTTTTCAGGCCGCAGTGCTGGTTTACACATACACAACACCCAGCTGGCTTTCTATGCTTGTATAATTCTTCTCTCAATGATTCAAAATCAAGCAAACCTATGAGGCTGTCCAAACCGTCCTCCCAGGCACAGGAGCCTGAGGTCTGCAGATCTTCAGGGTCTGAGAGCCAGACATCCTCACTGTGCAGTAGCCCACAGCTGCTGCTCCTCGCCTCAGTGCTCAGCCTGCTCCTGCTGGTGGGGTTTTTCCTGTGGCTGCAAACAGCCCTGGCAGCTGCTTTAGCTCCTTCAGCTGCTTTTGTTGCTAGGACTTCATTAACGCTTGTTTTTCCCAATGGCCCATTTCCTTCAGTGCTTTGAAATAATGGGAATAAAACGCCTATGCCCAGTGCTGGTACCTGTGCCCTGCAGGTGTAGCAGCAGCAGCCTGGCAATGCTGTGCTGCTCAGGGCAAGCCTGCCCCTGTCTGGGATGGGCATGCATGATTTCCTCTCTTGTTTTTCATCCGATGTTTTTAAGTCCAAAAGTAGGACAGAGCACAGCATTTCTGACTGTGCCAGTGGGTGTTTCCAGCCAGCTGACAGCTAGGGCAGTTTTTATTACCTGTGTTTTGATGTAAATTGGAGCTGCGGGCCCAGGAGAGCTGAGGTTCCCTGGGAGGCAGCAGCCTTTAAAGCAGCGTTCTGGTGGCGGGGTTGGGCTGGTGATCGGCTCATCTGCGCTCCCACTTATCTCAGGGCCCTGCGGCGGGGAAGGGGACTGAAGAGCCTCAACATGAGCACAAACAGCTCCCAGCTCCCAGAGCTATAGGGGCTTTTTGAACTTCAAGGCTCAGAAAATGCCTGGGAAGAAAATATGCTTATGTGCAGAGGTGAAAAGCTTTTCCCTCCTGAGCATCCAGCGTCACTGATGCTTTAATTGGGGCCTTCTTTACATCCTGCACTTGGCACGGTGCTCCCTTGCCTCCTCATGGAGCTGGTGCTCACGTGTGTCTGTGATCAGGTGGCCAATGCAGTTTTCCTTCTGGAAAGTTTGAGGAAGAGGCTGGGATGAACCCATGCCCGGTGTTGGTGGTCCTGGGGGGTCAGGTCAGAAATGAAGATGGGCCATCAGGCATTGCAAAGCACTACAGGTTCCAAAATGCTGAACCCCAGCAGTCCGTCATGCAGTGCTCAAGGAAATGAGTTGACTTCTGGGACTATAGAGGAAGTACATACAGGTCTATTAATAATTAACGATGCTATATTAATTTCTTTTTTTTTTTCTCCTGCTTCAGCATTTTTTTTTGCTCACCATGCTTAGAAACACGTGGCTGGCAGAAACACTCTTGATGTGACTGAAGGTGCTCTGGTGCATTCACTGCAGCACACCGAGTTCCCTCTGTGCCTTTCAGAGGTGCTTGACCTCTAGGAGTCCTTTGGGAAAGCAGCTGTCAGTGCTGTGCCATGAGCTCTGGTGCTCAGGTTGCTCTTTGAGCACTTCTCCTTTGCAGAGCCCATATGCAGGGCTGGGTGACTGCATTGGGGCGAGTGCTGTTCTGAATCTGCAGGTGAGCTGTGTGGTGTAGCTGGCCATCTTGGTGCTTTCTGTCTATTGCTACTGCTGCTGGCTCTCCCTAGGAGACCAAGTACACAAATAAGTATTTAATTATCTCCTAGGAGATGGTGATGTGTAACTCTACAGCTCATGGCCCATCTGGACTAATGGTGGGAGGAGGGTACCACTGCTGTTGGTTCAGAATATAAAATGTGGAGCCCACCACCCATGCACATGTTTTATATGGATGCAGCAGCTCTTGCTAGAGTTCAGGAAGCAAAAATGGTGCACTCAAAGCCTTTTAAAGTGGTGTTTGGGTGAGAATTCTGGCTGCTTTTCTGTGCCCTGCTGCAGGGGAGCTGGATCCAGCTGTCTGCCAGAGTGCTGGGCTGTTTGAGATAAAAGCACCTTACAGCCCTGTGCTGTGGCTGCTGAGATAACTGTGGTGGGGAGTCTATGAGGAGAGAGGGGCATTGGCTGTCTAAAGTGGAAAGCTCGTCTCGCACTGGCTGCAGGAGCATGGATCTGACCCTGTCTGCAGTGCAGAGCCCCTTCCTCTCCTGCTGAAGTGTGTATGTGGGAGAATGGGAGAATGTGGGGCTGGCAGTGTGCCCGTGGGGTGCCCCCAGGCCTGGCCACAGGAGAGAAGGGGATCCAGAGCCCCAGCAGCCCCCTGCTGCCAGCTGGCACCTCCCTGTGCCGTGCTGGGTTTCCTTCTCCCAGCTCTTCCAGTTTTGGGTGCTGTCCTGGTTGCTGTTGCAGCTTGGAGAGAGAAAACTGATTTTAGGTTCCTTATCTCAATATAGTACATGCATCTGCTAGTAGAAGGGAGAGACTCTGTCTTGATGGGCTGCTCCTGCATCCCTGGCTTGCAGAAAGACCTCCTTGGAGAGCTTAGTGGCCACCAGAGCATGTCCATTTCCCACAGTGGGGGCAAGGTTGGAAATGCTTTCTTCAGCCTCATTATCAAGCATGGGAACTCATGGCCTTGCAGCTTGCCATGTGCTGCAGTTGCTGCTGTCTTTAAAGATATTTTAGCTGCAATGGAAAGGAGAAAATCGTCAATTTTATGCATTTTGATTTATATTACTGCCTTAATATTTTACCCATCTAATAGGAACGTTTCTAACTTTGCAGTATTAAGTGTTTGATTTCAAATGTTACTTTCTATAGTGGCAAATACCTTATAATTAAGGTCTGGGTGAAGCTACATCTGCAAGCACGTGCCAGCGCATGAATTTGCCCAGAATACCCACAGGGTTTTCCTCTTCAGGAAAAAAAAAATAAAAAAGATAATCCTGCAGGGAACTGAGATGTTATTTCAGACAGCAAGTAAAGGAGTGACCCTGCAGCAGATGGCACAGGAACATGCTGTCTGCTGCTGAAGGGCCTCGAAAGTGCAGCAACAGAAAATGTTTGCAACTGTCTCTGATCTGAGCTTGATGAGTTGTCCCTGGGCTTTTTTTCCTGTGCTTGAGCATTTCCTGTTTCCTGCCATTTGAAACAAATAGCTGTGACTCTTTCTCCAAGCAGTGGGCAGAACAGCCACGAGGCTTTTGGGTGGGATGGAGAAATGGTCCTTAATGCTACAAGTTTTCTTGTTGTTTTATGTCAAAGAGTGACTTTAATGCGTATTTCTCGTAGCTGGTTGATAGCCACAACTCCTCACTGGATTTCTGTTTTGTGAGGGAGAAGGAAGCAGTCTGTACATCTTTCCTCGTCCCTTCCATTCCTCTCCCCCCAGATGCTATGTGGGACAAAGCTGGTGGTTGGTGTGCTGAATGTAGGGGATTTAAGGTCAGTGCTCACCAGTTGTGGCCTGCAGGTGTCTGTTCTTTTTGGGCTCAGCCAGTGCTCTGACAGTGCTGAGAGGCAGAAGCCTCCTTGGTCCCTCCCAATGGTGCCTGGAGCAGGGAGCAAACAACTGAGGTGAGGAAAGGGCAGCCCTGATGTGAGGTGGCTTTGCTGTGAGCCCGGTGGCGTTATGACAGTGATATAGCAAAGCAGATCCACAGCTGAGAATTTTTAAATTACTTCTAGATGCCATGTATGAGGTTTTGAAAGCAGCAAGGAGCTTTCTGTGCCTGAGGAGCTGTGCTGTCTGCAACGAGCAGCACGCTCTCCCTCCTTGAGCTGTGATAGATAATGCTTCCTCATATTAGCTTGCACTTGATATGTTCTTCTCTAAAATGCTCTTGGCCTTTTTGGTGAGAAATAGGCTTGGATGCACTGCAGCGTGGTGTGGCTCAGCATGTAGATATACACGATGGGCTCTGCCCTGGGCAGAGGAAGCACTGCAGCCCTTTGGGGACATATGCCCAGCTTCCCTGCCTGCCTGAAGGAGCTCATCCCACCTCTGTGCCTGTCCCCCAGTGCAGCCCTGCAGCACCCAGCTGTGTGCTGTGGTGGTACCAGGGACCTTCTGGCTGTGCCATGTTGTTTATTTTCTTATTCCAGCAACCCAAAGTTCTTTTCCCCTCATTAAGAATGGGAGAAAGGGGACACGTGGGAGGAGGTTAGGGGCTTCCATTCACAGCTCTAGTGGCGTGAAAAGCTCTCCATGTTATTCAAAGGTAACCCCATCTCTGCATGGAGTTGTGGTAGTCAATACCCTATTTGAGCTCAGTGTTCATTATTTTTTTTTTTTTAATTAAAAGGCTAAGCTGGGAGGATTACATGACTTTTATTTAAAAAAAGAAAAAAGCCACTTGAGCTAGAGTATTAAGTCATTACTGCTAAAGAAATCAAACAGGAGTTGGAGTTGCAGGCTCTGGAGGGGGAGAAGAAAGGGCAGTAGTGCATGTAATATATTTACATATCACAAAAACAGCATCTGCTCTCATCACTCCAGCTTAATCCTTCTCGAGAGCGCATCGTTTTGATTTAGATGCTTGCGTGCTGCTTTTCGGGGCAGCTTTAACCCCGTGCCATGTGAATGTCTGAGCTTGGGCTGTAGCAGCTGGGCACAGAGCCTGGCACTGCGTCCTGGAGGGGCTGAGGGGACGCTGCTGTCACTGCTGGGCCGTGTGGAAGGCATCAGTCTGTGGTCTGAGCTCCAGGAGCACCTCAGAAATGAAGATGTTTGGAGACTCAGCCTGCTGGGTGGAAATAGGACTGCGAGGATGTTTGTTGCAGAGACAGTTTGCTGCAAGGAACTGCCAGATGGGGTGTTTGGCAGTGTTAAAATAGGAATGGAGGGCGTAAGATGAGAGACAAGGTAAATGTTTATTACTAAGGCCTGTTCCTGTGTGAGGTTCCCATAGGAGGCACGCAGTGATGCAGGAAACTGGAGAATAAAGCGTGCTGGGAGCTCAGCGGAGTTGCACCTCAACGAGCTGCAGTACAGGTAGCAGCTAAAGCTCTGAGTTCAGGCATCAGGCTTGTCTTAGCCCTTGCTCTATGGTTTGTACGACGTTAAATTCCCCATACATTTGTGTCTTAAGAACGTGTGCCTCTTCTGCTTTTCTCTGAGCTAACCACAGCTCACCTCAGGGCTGCCTCTTGCTCGCACTCCATCTGCTTGCATTTTGGGCACTTTCTCCTGCAGACTTTCCCCAGCAGTTTTTCTGTTCTCCAGGTTGTCATCTGGCTGAAATTAGGGCGCTGGGAAATTAAATGGTATATGTCTCTATTCCCCTGTATGGAGTAAAACTACTCTATTTTTGTGCTTGTTACTTGTCTTTCCCTGTTGTCATGACTGTCCTCACCTTGGGAAGGAGCTTGGCCCAGAGGAGAGGTCTTCCAGGACGCCCTGCATGAGGACAGGCAGTGCCTATGGCTTCAGCTCTGACAGCAGAGCCTCAGTGATTAGTTCTGTGGGAAAGACTGACAATCTTCTACAAAACACTTGAAGAGGAGAACAGCATTGTAAAACACCTTTCTCCATTGAAGGAAAAAAGCTTCAAAGAAGGGCATCTCTGGCTTCTGAAGGGGACAACTGAGGTGGGCTGGCAGCCTGACCTTTGTGCTGGTATTGAATCCAGGGCTGTTTTCTCAAAGCTGGACGAAGACTGCCATGGAAGCTGGGACTGGTGGCAAAGCCAGAGGGTAAACTGTTCCTTAGAATAGGCGGTATCCATTTCTAAGCAGCAGTCAGCCTTTATTTGGCTTCTTCGTGAAGCAGGAGAATTGCAGTAGGTAATCATGTTGACCGCTCAGAGTTAGAAGATATGTTCCAGATCTGTGCTACAAATAGAGAGGCATTGTTATTTGTGTCACAGATTCGAGAGAATAAATTTGCATGTTGTTGCCTTTATAGCCAAAGCTCCTTGTAAACAGGAAAGAAAAAAAAGCACATGATAAAAAAGAGTGGAGGAAAGAATCATAAAGAAGGGTGGGAAAGCAGAGTGAGGCGCACGATACTTGCAGCACTGAAGGCAGTGATGCAATGGGAAAGGCAGTGCCACAGCAGCCTCTTCCCCCTGGTTGAGTGAAAACCCAACTAATGTCACATTAGTTTCTAAGATTTCAAGATCTAATAGGACATGTAATTGTGATGCTGAAGCTAATCATCTCCAGCCATCCTTGCACTGGCGTTACTGCCTGCTAACAGCCTTCAGAGCTCAGAGCAGTTCAGCCTGGTGCTCCTTCCCTCTACCAATTACATTTTTTTTGACATCTCAGCTTTTGGCAGTAGTTTCTGGTCTTGCATTCTCTTTGTTTACCACATGCCACTGCTGTACAGCTCAGGCACTGCCTTTCTGATCAAACTGAAGCTTGCCATTAAATCTGACCCATTTGTGAGCAGGTGCTGCCTGCAGCTGAGTTCTTACCCTGTGCAGCACAAGCTCTGGCACTCATACAGTGTGTGCTTTGGGAAGGCCAGCAGTGGCCCTGCAGGCAGGGGGCATACATGGGGTGTGCTGAGGCTCACCTGAAGCTCAGCTCTGCTGGTGGCACTGAGACCAGGTAGGGCTGGTTTGGGGGCTCCAAACACTTGGGACTCTGGGTTCTTTCTTAGACTTGGTCAGCAGAAAACTTGATTTCATAGAATCATAGACCCTTTGAGGTTCCTTGGTCTAAGGTCACCAAGTCCAGCCCCAACCCATCGCCACTCTGCCCACCAAATCATTTATCCTACTGCACTGTCAAATCAACGGGAGAGCTTTGGGTTTAATTCTGTATGGAAAAGTGTTGATTCCTGGCTGAATGTGCACTTCTGTGAGTGGTCAGGGCTGGGTGCTGCTGGAGCCTAGGGGCACATGTGGCTTAACTGCCTCAAGCCACTCCTGTACATTGATTCTTCAGTTCTATATTGCTCCCCTGAAGCCCATGATAATCAAGAATTTATTTTTTCTGCATAATCTACATTGGCCTTTCCACACATTAAACCCAAGATCGCACCACATCATTTAAAATTGCATCCAGAAATGATTTCCTCTCTCTGCTAAAGCCTCTGCTGAACGTCCGCTATGCAGATCTGAAATTGGATTACCTCTCCCTGGCAGCAGAGGAGATGAGGAGTGGAGAGAGCCAGAGGAAGCATTTTGTTCAAATTTATTGTCGAACTAAATCAATCTCCATATGAAAAGACTTATATCTTTGTTGATGTAGGCTGTTTTTAGCCCAGACGCCGATAAATTGTGGTCAATCAGAGGAAGGCAGCAAGCTGCTTTTTGGTGGAGCCCTGCCTCCCCTGAGCTCTTCATTTCTGGTTTTCAGCTCTGTCACTGCATAGGCTGAAATTCTATTTCCTTGCCTGAAGTGTCTCAGTTATCAGTGTTGACCGAGCAGTTCACCTGCTTCTGATATCGGTGTCTGCATTAGGGAATGGGCTGCACTGCAGGGGATGGAGTGAGCACGGGGAGGTGAGCAGAGGCTGTGCCCTGGTGCTGGGGATGCTGGTGCTGAAGCTCCAGCTGCTGCTATGGGGTGCTGGGAATGAATTTCAGCAGCTGCCCCACAGACTGAGAACCAACAGTTTCCTAAATGCTTTCTTCCCCTGAAGCCATGGTGGTGTGGGAGCAGCGTCAGGGTTATATGAGGGAGAGGGCTTGGGAGTATGTAGGGCTGGAGGGCTGCTCCTGCACCCTCCTGCATGTACAAGGAAATAGACTGGTTCAGTGAAGCAGTGCCATGCTGACATCTGCTTCTCTGTAATAATCCTGTGCTGTGTAATAATAAACCTACGGTGCTCCAAATCCAGCAGGAAGAAAGCTGCTTATTGATGCAGACAAGTGCACAGTCGCTGTCTTGTTCTCCCCTGTAAAACTTTAAGTATTCTGGAACCTGTCTCATCAGCTGTCTGGGAGCAGGCAGATTTGCATCCTCCAGCTTCCTGGCAGGGAGCGGGGCAGCTCTCTGCTAAACACAGCCTGAGGAAAGCCTCATGGAAGAGGTGAGCTTTTAACCTGGACCAACCTTTCTGACAGCGTGAATAATGAGACATTTTGATGTATCAATAGTGATTTCTTGGGAGCGTGTTTCCTATTTGATTTGCTTCAAATGATGCACGCAAGTCAGCCCAGCCTGGTGAATTGTTTACTGTGGGTGATTGCAGAGTAGGGCCGGGGACTTCTGGGGGCTTTGGGTACATCAGCAGGGATGGCTCCAGCTGCCCCATGTGGGGGTTCTGTGCCTGGGCAGTTCTAATGGCTCAGGCTGTTCAGTACTGCCCTGGGAAGCGGAGAACAGCTGTCCCAGGGCTCTCCTCCGTGCTTTATTCTCCTTAAGGCAGCTGCCAGCTGGAGGATGCTTAAAGAGCTGCCTGTGGTAATGACGAAGCCCTCCGGTAAAATAAAAGTAAGGCATGGTGGGAGCTGTGAGCTCACAAGTGGAGCACAAATTCCAGTCCTGCGTGCAGGGCTTGCTCAGAACTGAGGCTTATCAGCCCTCTGTAGGGCTCCCTGGGCACATCTCATTCAAGCTTAAATCAGACTGAAATTGTGCTTGCTGCCCAGTGTGGGGCTCATCCAGCCGTGGGCTGCCCTGCTGCTCTGTGTCTCAATGCAGCATGGAAGTTTGACAGCCCTCCTGGCTCTGTCACAGCTTTGGGGACAGCAGTGTCCTGAGGCTCTGCTGCCCATCCCATGTGCTGCTGCCTGAGCACCAGAACCCCACACCTCCATCCCTGAGGCACTCAGCGTGCTGTGGGCTGATTTCCAGGAATTAAACACATCACTTCTTCTTGGTTTAACCAAACAGCTATGAGGCACGTGCTGAGATGTGGGGTCTTGAACTTTTGGGCTGAGTGAGAGGGGCATGTGAAAGGAAGCAATAGCAGAACTGCAGGATATGACTTTTAGGGTACTGCTATCATTTCCTCTTTTGTATGGAAACCTGCACGTGTGCTAAAGGGCAAATATGGAGTAACTCTGCTGTGTGCATTTAGCAAATGAAGAATGGAACAGTCTGGAAATTCCTAACTATCTGCATTGTATTTCAGACAATTGCTATACAAATTAAAGTTTAGAGAATAAAGTAAATTATGTGAGGGGAAATAAATATCCCCCACACGCACGCTAAGCTGCTTCAAAGCTTGTATCAGTGCTAAGTGGATTTGTAGTGACTTTCTCTAATTCACTTCATTAGAAGAAAAGCTGTTGAAGACTTGGTGTTACTTTGATAAATGCAGTACCCCTGAGAGCTGCAGGTAATGCACTGAGTGTCTGTAGGACAGCTGCCCGTCCCTCCCCAGATCACCTACTGGCCAGCATCGATGCTGGGAAGGTGCACAGCTGCCCAGGAGTGGTGGGGTCACCATCCCTGGACGTGTTCCAGAGCAGTGGAGATGTGGCACTGTGGGCAGTGGGCATGGTGGCGTGGGCCAGAGTTGAATTGGAGATCTTTTCCAACTTTAATGATTCTATGGTTCTAACGCATTTACCCATGCCCCTTTCTTTGAGGAAAACCAGCACAGATTTGTGTACGTACCTGCAGGGTGCTGGGGCTGAGGCTGATGTGGCTTTTACCCATTTCAGAGCAGTTTTGGGGAGACTGACTGAAGAATGCCCTCCCAGCCCAAGAGGACCCTGCTGTGTGGGGCTGTGATATAGGGGCAGGAATGAAGCCTGCTCCTCTGTGGTGTGGCTCAGCAAGGAAGAGGCTTAGCTGCATTTTTGTGGTTATAACTGTGTTTGGATAGAGCTGTAGCATCAGGTGCCAAGTACCTAATTAAGCTGCCAGACTTGGGAGGGTGAGACATGGAGCTGTGTCCAGGGCTGCATTCAAGTGCTGGATCCAGGTGGGCACTTGGGCTGCAAATTCCTCAAACCCTACCAGCCATGCCAGTAAACCTACTGTCATGTTGTCACATTGCCACATTGTCACGTTTCCTCACGTGGCCATGAAATTCTTCATTTTTCTTAGCAAGCTGTAAATTCTGGAGGCTTCTGTCCCATCACACACATATGCACATAGCATCCTCTTCAAGGCAGTTCTCCAGGGCATGTCCCAGCTAAACATCTCTGCTTGGGATGCCTTGGTGTGTTCAGTTTGGTGCATGAGATGCTGACAGAAGTCTAACAGACCTTGCTAGCTGCACGTGGCTTCAAGCATTCTGTCCTGATAACAGAATGCAGGCAAGTCGAAGATGCAGAACTGACCTGCGCATATGGCGGTGCTAGAACAAAAAGACAAGCAGCTTGTGGCATATGACATGGATGCTGTTTTATTTTAATGCA